CTTCGCAGTTAGAAAGGTGGATGAGGTTGCCCAGGGAAAGATGATGGACAGAGAAAAGCAGATGACCAAGGACAGGTGCTTGAGAAATGTTGAGATTTGGCAGGATCATTTTTTACATAGCTCAGGAAGACAGAGAGGAAGCAGGCTGTTTCTCTTCTTGGCCCATAAAATCCTATCAGATAAGAAGCCAATATCCTGATGCTGGGAAATTCACTGTTTGCTCCAAGGAGGCCTCTGGGTTTCACAGATCTGGAGAACATCAGTTCCTTGGATAAAGGCAGCAGCTCCAGACTCTCTGGCACCAAAATGGCCGGAAAAGTGAAGGGTTTAGGACTTAGGGAGATGGCTACTGGGACAATAGCCCACGCATATCCTCAAATGCCAAGGACAACTCTTGGGTAGCACCCCTATCTCTAAATTGTGCTAACATATTACAAACAGCTGTGCCCCAGACCAGTCTGACTGGTTTGTTGTGGGGAATTCTTTAAAACCAATGAGGCCATAAATCTTGAGCTTTGTCAATCCCTGTTGTTAGAACGTTTTGTCTTCAGTCTCCTACAGATCTCCCTGGGGAGACTGGAGCACTTTATAATTTCTTTCTGTAATCGGAAGCTAACCTCAGTGCAGCCTACCCTTCCAACGGTGAGAGGTTCCACTTGCTTATGCCACAAGATATTATACTAAACTAATTCAAATCATTCAAAAATATGGGATGGCTTTGAAAGGTGGAGAAATGTGGGTAAAAATACAGCAATTTTTTGCTAACTCTCCATTTTACTAATAATAAGTAAGCACCCAAAATGGCTAATAGCCAGTATTTAGAATAGGGCCTTGAATGTAGTGATGGTCAAAGTTGGAATGAATGAAATAGTGACAGAAGCATCAGACCGCACATTTTGAGACTTATGGCAATATATACAGATTCATTAATTCAAATAAATGCATGGGTTCTAAGTAATTGCTGAGAACAGTGATTAGGCAATGAGGATAAAACAAATAAGGTAACAGTCAAAAGCTCTAGGAAAAGAATTTAAATGGATTCCTTACATAAATGCCCTACTTTTAGAGACTAGAGGTGTGGAGCTTAGAAGGGTGCATACGCTGGAGAAATCTCGTGACTTTCTGGGCAACTGCCTTGAGTCCAAAGGACAAACTGGACAGCTCCTTTGGGTGGTGCCAATCCTTGACTGAATAAGTCACATACTGGAAATTATGCAGCCTGTGTATAAGGAATCCCTGTGGCAGCCTTTCTCAGCGGGGGCCAATAAGCAAGGCAGGCACACAAAGAGTCATGGCCTGTCATCTGCTACCTCAAGAGATGTGTGGCAGACCCAGGGTGTTAACTAATAAAGGAACTGAGTTAACTAAACAATATAATAACAGTAAGAATAGATAGTACAGGTACTCCTCAACTTTTGATGGGGTTATATCCGGATAAAATCATCATAAATTGAAAATCCCATAAGTCCAATATGCATTGAATATACTCAACCCATCAAACATCATAGCTTAGTCTAGCCTACTTTAAACATGCTCAGAACACTTACATTATTAGCCTACAGTTGGGAGAGATCACTTAACACAAAACCTACTTTATAATAAAGTGCTGAATATCTCATATAATGTGAAAGTGAAAAAGGAAGGGATGTATGGGTACCGGAAGGATGACTTCTACTGAATGTGCATTGCTTTCACATCATTGTAAAGTCAAAATATTGCAGGTTGAAGTCACAGACCATCTATATGCATGATATGTAATATATTATAAATATGTGTTATATGCAAATATTATATAGTATATATTTAAATTATATGTAAATTTTATTTATATGACATATGTAAATATATGTCATATAGAAACATAATATAAAACTATATTATGTACTATATATGTATGTAAATAAATATATAAAATATATTATATACTATATATAACATAATATATATAGTAATGTAATTAAAAAGGACTTTAACCAAGAAATATAAAATGAAGTGTAAATTTAGAAAGAAACAGGAGAACATATGTTCAGTGTTCCACAGTGGTCTAATTTCTGTTGAGACTATGGCCAACACGCTTCATAATTCACTCTAAGAGAAAACCTGTTGTTTCCATATAGACTATACTCATTAATAACAATCTTACATGTGGCATCATTGGCATTCTTTTTTTACCATTTCCTTTTTCTTTTCTTTCTTTTTTTATTCACAAAAATCTCTATTCTAACAAGCCAAGTTAGGGAATGCCATACGAATGGTTATGAATACCAAGAATAAAAATTCATTGAAAGTTTTTTTCATAGAAAATGTCAAGCATCACAAGTATAATGCAATAACCCGCCATGTGCCCACCCAGCATCAGCAACTGTCAATGTTTCGATGGTCATATTTTGTTTATCACTTGTCCTTTTTGGCTGAGATATAAAAATGAAATTCTCATGTACAAAAAGAACATAAACTCCTCAAAAGTCCAGGTACGTTTCTCTAGTGTACACATTTTCTTTACAGCACACTTTTCTTTCCATTTCTGCAGCCATTATCCAATTTTTGCTGGTGACCATGGAAATACATCTTATGATGGCCTCAGCTAGAATAATCTTTCTCCCTGTCTTCAAACAAGGCATTGGTATCTCAAGTCACAGATCTCTAAGGATTCCCACAGATATGCTTCAGCCAATCTGTGAACTCTCAAAAGACATATGCAAATATTTTTATATTTATTATATAAGGGGGTTCCAAAGTGTCTATCACAATCTCATAGGGGCCTATGAACTACAAAAAATTAAGCATCTCTGCCTCTACTATATCTTGAAAGGATATCGAACATCCTTTCTCATTTTCAACTCTTAGGCTGAAAATTCTTTATATCAAAATCCTGTACCTGTCACCACCTGCGGCATGCCTTCCCTGCCCACCTCACCTATAACTGATTTCCCTCATGTTTTCCTGCAAAATTTAAACCAGACCGCCTTCCTTTTTGTCACATTCTGTTTAGATCTCATTGACCAGACAAGTGTTTATTAGGTACCTACTACGTGCCAGGCACTATCCTCTATTTATTTACCTGTACTTTGCCTCCTATGGCCCTGTCAGAAGAGGGCAAGGGACATCACAGTATCTAATTCACATCCTGTGTCCAAGGACACAGTCTAGTTGCAGCTCCACTGAACAGAAGCAGGAATGAGCAGCAGCATTTCTGTGGGCTGGCATTCAGCTCAAGAATATGTAAAACCAGGGTCGTGATTTTTTGCCTTTTAAATGGGAAAAGGAGGTGGTTACAGAAAAAGGAGAAGTCAATTTGATTATCCTGGGCATGAGGAGAAAGAGGCCCAAGAAGAGGTTCCCCCACCCCCACCCCAATATACTGTGACATTGGAAAACTATCTGGGAATCAGAAACTATATGCTGATCTCCATCCATGCTCTTAGTAGCACCTTAATGTACCAGTGTCTTCATGAGACATATAGCTGGGTCCCCACAAATAACTATGACTGTAATAACAGCTCAGCGTGCAGTCCCCCCAGGCCCCATCCCCGTGGGATTGGGAGCATAACCTCATTCACAAAGGGCAGCAGAGTGGTTACTAAATGTGCTGCTTTTTCGACATTGGAAAAGTGCATTTGTCAAAGTACATAGATCCTCAATGATCACTGAGTTGTTTAATAATAGGGATTGAAGATTATTACTCTAAGGATCTGGCAGAAAGTAGTTAATGCGGAGGGGTGCGGTGTCTCACGCATATAATTCCAGCACTATGGGAGGCCTATGCGGGAGGATCGCTTGAGGCCAGGAGTTGGAGACCAGCCTGGGCAACATAGTGAGACACTAGCTCTACAAAAAAAGTAAAATAAAAAATAAGAAATTAGCTGGGCGCGGTGGCTCATGCCTGTAGTCCCACCTACTCGGGAGGCTAAGGAGAGAGGATCTCTTAAGCCTAGGAGTTCCAAGTTGCAGTGAGCTGTGATCGTGCCACTGCACTCCAGCCTGTGAGACAGAGGGAGACTCTATCTCTAAAATACAAAAAAAAAGTAAAAAGTAGTTAGCACTATTGTCACATTGTCACAGAAGCAATGGGGGGAGGGGAGGTTTGCGTCCAATTTTAGGTAAAACCTTCTAAGTTCCATCCCACCTTCTGACAGGTGCTACTTTGATGGAGCTAGTTTTGCAAAACACAACAGATTAAGCATGCCGTTTTAGTGGAAGGATTTGGGGCGTCTAAGCAGTGGCACCCTGGACTCAACCACCCCCCATCTTCAGTTGTCCCAGGTACCCAATACCCAACGGAGACATTTCCGTTGAAGTGGGTGGTTGCAAGGATCAAAAGATATAAGACGCGCTAAAGCGTCACGTTGGTGGTGGTGGTGTCAGCCCAGGTGCCGCGTTGCTGCGCTTCGGCCGACCAGGTGTGCCCGCCTTGGCGTCCTCCCCTACGTAGGATCGGCCACGCCGGGAGAGACAGGCGAGAAGAGCGAGGCGACAGGAAGGTCACCCCGGCCCCAGGCCGGGCGGGCGCGGCACAGTCTCCCTTCCCGGGAGCGCTCGGGCGGGCGTTCGAGGGGGCCAGGGCGGGGAGGGGACACTGCCCGAGCCCCGCGCCGCGCCCGCCGCCCCTGCGAGCGTGCCCGCCCTCGCTGCCCGAGGCGCCGCGGGCCTGGCATCCCGGGGAGCCGGAGCCGGAGCGCCGCCTCCTGAAAGGTGAGCGCGGGCCGGGGAGGCGGGGATGGTGACGGGGGCCAGGGACGGTCGCCCAGCTGCTGTCGCTGGAGCCGCCCGCAGCCCCGGGAGCGGCGCTTCCTGGGCAGGGCGCGCCGGGACAAGCGCTGGCGAAGCCCGGACTCCGGCGGCGCGGGAGGAGGGGCGTGCGGAAGGGCCACCAGCGAGCTGGGCGCGGGTGACCGCGGGGGCCGCGCTCCAACTTCTCTTCGGAAGCCCAGAAGCGCGCCCGGGTGCGCGCTCCCCTCGGCCACGCGCGCCCCCGCCGTCCCGCTCCCCCACCCCGCGCGCGCCCTCCGTCTATTTTTTCCTCTTCCTTTCATCCTCACTCCAAAATAGGTCAAGGGGTGGAAGTTACACCTGGTGCGGCCCCGGCTCTGATGCGAAGGCGGCTTTCCCCCAATCCCGGCCCCGGGACAGCGTCGTAACTACTCGGCTCAGTAGACTTTCCCGCCCCCAGATCGAGCAGAAAGCGCTGGCGACCCGGGCGCTGACAATGGCCAGCCGAGGGGAGCGGCGAGAAGCCTCTTCTCCGCCCTAGATCTGCCGCCTCTCGGCTCCAGCAGGGAGGCCGGGGCGTGACAGGTCACCTCGAGCGTGCCGGGCGCGCCCCGCCCGGGTCCGATTGCCGGGGTGAGTTCCTGCCCGTCCTCCGCCATCCCGGTGGCCGAGGGTGACCTGTTTACCTTGCAAACTTAGACACGACCAACACAGGCGAGCCTGCCGTGCAGTGAGGGACCGCAGGGTGTGCTTCAGATGTGAGACCGGATAAATCAGAACTCAGAGCTGCAGGGGACATGTTTAGTGTCTTAAAGGTGAAAATGCATTCGCATTTCATGGAGTGCGCGTGTACCTTGCCCGTTAGAAGCCATGGCTTGAGAATTGATTTTTAACTAGTAGGAGGTGGCCAACTGATCATGTGAAGCCAGAAAGTTTTCAAAGCTGATGATGAAAATACAGCTTAAGAAGAAGTGCCAAAATAGGAAGGTGGGATTTATATAATATCTTTTGCTATGTGCGTATCTTTTTATGGTACCTGGATTCTTTTTGATAAACAGATATGAGCATGCAGTGCTGTATAGAAAGAGGGTAATGCTATAAACATCTATGTTAGTTGCAACGTATGCATGAATTTAAATGTACGTTGAAAATTTTGTGTGCGTAAAGAGCTAGGATATGTATCTATATCGTTTTGAGGTTCAAGTTATTGGCAGTACCACCGGTGACCATTGGTGTTTAACCTATTGTTTCAGCAGCCAAAAGTACCATTGTACATGTGACTCACACGCATATCGAAGCGTTTAGCTTTCTGGCTAATGAATGAATATGGTTAATTTCTTTTGAAGTTTAGGAGAGGGAGAGTTGTAGGTCTTCCTGTCCTTGATTCCTGGATGTAGGATGCAGTGTAAAGAACTTTCCAGCACTGGTCAGTGGTGCCTTAGAGTTGCTCCCAGGGCAGCATCTTTGAGAAGAATGAGAACCCCCTCTCTGATAGCCCTTGATTACACAACACTTATTTAAAGCAGACCTTGACAAGTTGGAAAGTACCTTGTCACTAAAGAAACTGCTCCAAAGAATTGCTGCCTTATTAATGCGTTTGGTCAGATTTCAAAAGGGAACTCTCCATAGACTCTTTTCCTGATTCAAAAGAAATTCTATTTCTAGAAAGATTCAATTACTGTAACGATGTTCTCTGGAAATTTGTCCTTTTGTGTGCCTCTCTTAATATGGCTAAAGCTCCAAGGTAGTTCAAAGGTTTTAATAACATTTTACTTACCAGAGGGACGTGGAATTGAAAATGCTTTGTCTGCATAGTTAACGCTGCCTTAAATTGGAAGGGCAATGGGAGATTTATGACTCCCCATGAATCTTAAATCTCGGTTTATGTGTATCTGTTAAAGGCAAATCTTACTTGGGATTAACAGGGCTTTAAAGAAGAGGTATAAACCAGGTATTATAGTATCTCTGATAGGTGGATATGTGAATGTTTAACTGCATTTCATTTGTAAAGAATTTATATACTCCTTTAAGGAACTAGTCTCCAAAATTTGAAACGTGATGAAGAAGGTTGTATAATTGCATTGAAGAAGATAGGGGCCAGACATGCTTGGCAATACTCCGACTCAGAATGTTGAGAGAAAAATGCAATGAACTCCTTGTGTTTTCTGCATGTCAGTGTTCTGATTTATATTTTTAAATAGGGATTAAGTGAAAGCTCCTATTGCAGTTTAGCCGCTGGTATAATGCATTGTTGATATTAAGCTGTCAGCACTTGTCTGTGCAATGTTAAGTTTCCACTCATAGGTAAATTAGGAAGTATTCTGAAAAGAGTGGCATGAAAGTATAAAGATAACTGAGGATTTATTTAAGGACAGACTGCATAATGATGCCAAATGACCAGTTAAATGTCCTTCAGCTCTTGTGATTCTCTTTTGATGGAATAAGAGAGTACATTGCATAGAGCCTCTAGCTAAGAAGTCTTCAAAAGGAGTTAAACGTCATTTACTTTGGGGACTTACTTCTCATCCAGAGAAATGTCTAAGCGTTCAAGGAAGGCATTTCCATAGTTGGAACTAGATCACCTGGCGTGAAGCCCACCTCTGAGCCATTTCCCATCTGTGAAATGGGCTAACGATACTCCGCCAGGTGGTTGTGAGGAGCAAATGGGATAATTGGTATAAAACGTTGTATAAACTATTGGCACTTTCTGAGTAGCAATAAAGAGGGGTTTATAACAAGAAGTAGAAACATGTCGACTTAATATCATCTCTTGGGGGCTGCAGAGGGGTTGCTGCCTAATCGCATTCAGAATTAAATATCTGGGCCGATGGGTTGTTCCCTCAACCTCGGACACTTAGAACACTCCTATAGCATATAGAGTGCGCTATACTCTCCGTAATCAGAGTCCTTCGGGTGCTAGAGGGTGACGCTGTTGCACTTGCATCTCCCCTATCCTAGACAGGCCTTTTTGTCTTACTTAGATTAAAGAAGTAACATGTGGTTGTTATTGGAGATAATGATGAGAGAGTAGGGAGAGGGAGGTGATGACCAATTGAAATTTGAAAATGGATTTTAAACATTTACTTAGCTATTAATAGTTTCTGTTAATGCCTTTGGAAGTAGGGGCCTCACAAAATGATAATAATTTCTAGTTTTCCTATGGACAGTTAGCAAAGGTAGAGACCATCTGCCATGACTTAGAATCGGGGTATTTGAACCCTGCGGATGAGGCAGCAATAGCATTCACTCAGCTTTTGAACAGTTTGGCATTCCCAGGGCACCAAAGGCACAACGCTAAGCCCTGCAGTTAATACTAATAGCAAGAAAAACAGCCCCCACTCCTGTTCCTGCAGAACGAGTGTCTGCTGGTAATAAATCGGTAAACCCATAAATAACACCCATGCTATGTGCTGTGCAGGACAAGTCTCAAGGACAGAAATGGCGAATTTAATCTGTGGAGGGAGGTTGGTCAGGGATGCTCGCTTAAGGAAGGGATATAAAGGAAGTGCGTTTAAGGAAGAGGAACAGCACCTGCAGAAACTCTGTGCACACGTCTCTGTGTGTGTGTGTGTTTTGCAGGAAGGACCATGTAGAGAACAGGTGTCTTTGAAGGAGGAGGCAGTGCTGTGGGAATGAGCAGTAGGCCTGGGCTGTGGGATGCATTTCTTTCTTTCTTTTATGTAAGGATGACAGTCTCAGTAGAATTCTTAACTGTTTTGTGTAAACCTCTTCTTTTAGGCTTTTTCTCAGATTACTCTATTGAATTGTGAAAAGGTTATTTATAATCATTTTTTAGTTGATCAGAAACTAAACCAATATTTACTATGATTGGCTAGTGTGTCAGCTCTTTGTATTGTTATTTGCCTGGTTTTAAAACCACTTGGATTCATTTCCTATCTTAATTCTAACAGATTTTTGTTTACAATACATAGTATGTATGTTTCCAGCTACCATACACACACACACAAATCTATCACGTATTTATCATCTATCAATCCATCTATTTTTTTCTCTCTGTCTCTCTGGTTTGAATCTAGATGTCTATTTTTTCTTTTTTTTGAGACAGAGTCTTGCTTTGTTGCCCAGGCTAGAGTGAGTGCCGTGGCATCAGCCTAGCTCACAGCAACCTCAAACTCCTGGGTTCAAGCGATCTTCCTGCCTCAGCCTTCCGAGTTGCTGGGACTACAGGCATGCGCCACCATGCCCGGCTAATTTTTTCTATATATATTAGTTGGCCAATTAATTCATTTCTATTTTTAGTTGAGATGGGTCTTGCTCTTGCTCATGCTGGTTTCGAACTCCTGACCTCGAGCAATCCGCCCGCCTGGGCTTCTCAGAGTGCTAGGATTACAGGTGTGAGCCACTGCACACAGCCCGTATGCATGGTTTTATTCTCTTTGGTTTTTTTTCTGTTCCCTTGTCTCTTCCTTTCTTGTCTCACTAAGGGTCTCCTATAAGACTAGGCTGGGTTATGATTATTTCTCAGCCTTTGTCATTATGCCTTGGCTTCAACTTCAGACCCTAAGGGGTTATTGGCCCTGATTTAGGAATTCCTGGAGGTACAACTTGCAACCTTCTTCTTGTTCTTAACTGTGTAACTGTATGTGAGAGGGTCATATTTTCCCTTCCATGGTCGTTCTAAGTAAGGTATTACCTGCCACTTGGCGTACTGAATGGCCTCATCTCTCGTTTTTCTTTCTTGTATCCATTAGGTTTCAGGTAATGGAAACTACCCTAGCCACTTTAAGCAGAAAGGGGTTTAATATGAGAATTGGGTGCTCAGAAGAAGGTTGGAAGGGAAAGTTGCAACTTAAAGAAGAGGATACTATCTAGCTAGCCTGAGCTTTGAGAGCTGAATCCCAGGCAGCATGGCTGGTTTGGCCCCCAGGGCTGCTACGGTCATTGCCATAGTCTGGAGGCTGAGAATCAGAGCCAGCAGCAGAGCTGCTAACATTAAGGACACACTGTCTGGGCGGTGTTCCAGTGATCACAGGAGCTGCTGCACACTGCCTCTCCACCCCAGGAAGCTAGTGAGTGGATGTTGCTATCAACAACAAAAACAAGCTAGCAAACACCTTCCTTAGATACCTTCCACCTTCCTTCTCATCCAGCTGATCTCCCTTGTGGAACCGAAGCTGTACCCAGAACCCTAGCTGCAAGGGACTCTGGGAAATGTGATTTGTAAGCTTCTAGCCTCAGAGGTAGTGGAACACCTACCTTCTCATATCCGTTAGGTTGGTGATGAGAACATTCAGTACACCGCGATAGGTGTGAATGTTGAGTGACAATCCATCATGCCTAACACATAGCTAAAATATATCTTATCAGAGATTTAGCTAGAATATTTAATTCAAAGCAAGTAGAGACTGACTTTGGATATGTAGAATGATATGTTGTAAAAATCAAAAAAGGATCTAGTTGCTAATCAATTACTCTTTCGAACAGATGGATATTATAGTTTTACAGTTGAAATTTCTGGAAAAAGCATCAGGCAAATAAATAACTAAAAATTACCAAGTGCCTACCTCTGCATGTGGTACTGATTGAATGTGAAATAATGTTCCTTTGACTTGGTTTAGTAATCAAGGTAAAATATTAGGAAAATGATTTTTAAAAATCATTTTTCTCCACCAACGCCCCAGATAGACTACTCGTTTAATGAACCACAAAGGAAGAATGTAATGTCCTGTCAAAGAAATAATAATGCCAGTCTGGCTATTTCTTTATTTAGAAGAATTCTCTACGTATCTATGTTTCTACTGAATCTTTCTTTCCTCTGTCTTTCATGGTGCTCTTCTTAAGGACAACAAAGATAGAAATGATTTATTGGAGATTAAAATAAGAGTATGCTTGAATTCAGGTTAATCACTTATTTCATACCCTGGCGCTTGTCAGATTCCTTTGTTTGTAAGCTATTAAAGTGGATATGATTGGATCTCTTCTATTCCTTAGTAAAAATATTATCAGTTTATTTGCATTCACAAATT